TAAAAAAAAAAAAAAAAAAAAAAATCTTTAGCAATCTTTTCCTCTCCCAGCCAATTTGGGTTAAGAAGATGCGATAGCGCGTTCTCTATAAGGATTTTTTTGAGGTGTGGAATAATTTTGTTCGTACGAATAAAAACAAGTTAGCCAGTTCTATTTTTCTATGAGGCGATATATATATATATATATATATATATATATATATCTTCTTTTTGTTTTAAATACAGACGTATTTTATGTGAAGAAGTTTGACCGACATAGAGATTAAAAAATTTATTAAAAAAAAAAAATAGTTTACTTGTAAACCAAATATCCGCAAAGTACAAATTATCCTTTATATCAAATGAGTCCCAACAAGTCATATGCTTAAAATTAAAATAAGATTTTAGGACATGCTTAAAATGAAAGTGTGGTTAGAAAAGGGAATACAGCGTTGTCGCTGCCTTCTCCTTTATGGTAAAGATTAAAGAGTAAAATTGGAGTTTTCTTTTCTTAACCTTTATTATTTCTTTACTTCTGTAGTTTTTTAGGTTAGTTAATGAACAATGTTCTAAAGAATATTGACCCTAAGCGAAAGCACAATATTAGACATCTCTTGAGTCACAAAAATATATTGTTGACTGTTTATACAAAACTCCATCAATTGCATAAGCGAATGGCAATGAGACAGATATGAAATAAACAAATTGTGTACACTTAATAACAATAATAATAAGAGAGTTTAAATTATGCAATATAATATAGGATTAGGTTATTATAAAGTAATTACTAGTACATGTCTATGATAAGTATGATAATCTGGTAAAAATGTTTCATAGGTTAAACTACAACGATAATGAATTTTTTTTAACATTAACAGTGTGTATAATTTTAGTACATGACGATAACATTCTTTCTTTTTTTTGGAATATTTACAGATTAAGGATATGGACAAAGAGATGGACACACTAATTTACACTAATGCAAATCAGGTTGACAAGGTCAGCCAAGAATTAAGCGCCAAGAAAAATTAGTCATTACTTTATTTTTCATACTTAGCCAATTTGCTTGTCCTTTCGAGCTTGTTAGACATTGTATTAAACATCAGTGCGTAGTTTATTTGCATCAATTATGTTTATTTTATGTATCAACATAAATTCAATAATTGACGGAAATAAGTAGAACTAGAGTCATTATTGCAGTCTATGAACGTTCTTGATATATAGTTGTTACCATACCAAAAGTAATGTATATGAGTAATGAGAGAAACAATATATTTTCCAATACCTTTTTTCTTTTCCTTTGTTTTTGGAGGAATTTGTGTTGTAAAATTCTTGCTTTTATTTTTATTTAGTGTTACAAAATAGATTGTAAGACTAAAAAATTAATACGTGATATTTTATTTTTGTCCCTTGGCAATGCTAAATCTGATTATAAGCTGATAATATTTTGATAATATATCAAAATTCATGGTAAAGTTATTCTAAAAATAACTTTATTAACCTTCAATTGTGAAGAATCATGTAGAAGCACTCCCAAAGGTAAATGTAACGGAAAAGACCTAAAAATGCCACTCAACTTTCAGAAAAGGTCTATCCATGCTATCCGTTAAAAAAATGCTCATTTCATGCCACTGCCGTTACACATATGGCTCACCTATGCCATTAATGAACTAACGGCACAAAATTCATTTTTTTTTAATTTTTTTAAACCCCAGAATTTCCACGTGTAATGTCCTCATTCGTCCGAATTAACTCATGCCCCACATTATTTTAACCTGGGTTATGTCGATTAACCCAAACCCAACCCCGATTAACTTATTACCCCATTAATCAACCCAACCCCAACCAAACCCAACCCAACCTATTCCAAATCCCCCTTTCCAGTTCCAAAAATTAGACATGGGCGACTTCATATTTAGCTCTAAAAATTCAATTCCAAAAGCAAAACTATCATCAGCCCAGTTAACACAGAAGAAAGCAGGTTGTTACTTCTAATGTTGGATTACCCAAGCTGCTACCCTAGTAAAACAGAATTCATCCGACTCATGAATCTACGAATTAACCATTCAAAAATGGAGCACTCTTTTATCTGTCCTCTTTGACAATGTCTATTATTGCAAAACAAGTAAGTTTCTCTTCCTTCATGGCGGGTTGAATCTGTAGAGCCAAGACTTAATAAGAAGGCGGATACTTCAATAAAAATCCCTGGCTTTAGCTACATTCTGGTGAAGCAGTTTGGAAAGTAGTATTACCTTCCATGTTATAGGTGCAAATAGATTAGCCAAGTTATTTTTAAGTCACCTCAGTAAAAATCTGATTGATGCTTTGAACCACCAACCACTTGAACAAACATGGTAAGCCAGATTTTACGGTCATTGCCGTCTCCAAGAAATCCTAAAAGTGATTGCAATAAAGATGGTAGAAGTCTATGAGGCGCATAAACAATATGCCTCTCACATAACTTTATAAGCAGTCACAATAGACTAACCTTTCCAACAGTGAGGAAGAAATATGGTTTTTGTGATTTGGGGAAGATGACTGGAAAGGGGGGATTTGGAATGGGTTGGGTTGGGTTTGGTTGGGGTTGGGTTGATTAATGGGGTAATAAGTTAACCGGGGTTGGGTTTGGGTTAATCGACATAACCCAGGTTAAAATAATGTGGGGCATGGGTTAATTCGGACGAATGAGGACATTACACGTGGAAATTCTAGGGTTTAAAAAAATTTTTAAAAAAAAA